TAAACACAACGTCGCTCGACTGGAATGCCTTTTAATGAATATCCTCGCAACTTTCACTAGCGATTTATTTTTATTCCCACTTTGCCTTTTATTATCACCTTTTGGGTTTTCATGCATCGCACAGTATAACTTGACTCAAATGAATGAGCTCCTAGTAAATCATGTTAATGTTTTTTTTTCAAAACAACGTGGAGGTTTGCTTGAGGCAGTATGTACACCTTGATATGTCTCTAGTTTTACCCTCGCTCTCGTCCTTGAAGATTACGTGCTTTCCGCAATATTCATACCCGTTCTTTTGTATGGTGCGGAGAAATAATTGTGTTATACGGACGGTAAATTAATTTAGTAATTTATTAACGCTTGGGAAGCAGCAGACAAACTTCAGTTGGTTTATCACTTGAGCTCAAAATGAGAAGTATATTTAAAAAATACGTGATGCTTTATCTTGCACGTATTATTTTTACACATTCGGTTCCCCTGTCGAGTTTCTGCCGTTCAGTGCATTAGATAAATGCGCAATGATATCTTATCAGTGGGTTTGATCTATTCGAACTATATTCGGAAGATAGGGACCCGTTTAGCCACGTGCCGAGTTGACTTTCGCGGTACACGCAAAACAACTACTCCGCTCTCATTTAGAGGGTCGGAGGACCAATCCAAACCAACCAACGAAAGTGAATTGAATTTAATGAAGTATGTATCGTCAAAGTGAAAACATTCTCTCTTACGCACACACACACACTGTGATCAACTTCTCGTTTTGCCCTTCACTATCCCCCCCCCCATCATTAAGGAGCTTTTTCTGTGTGAGATGAGCTGGTCAACCGACTGAACGATGTTTTGTCTAATCGGTACGGATGAAATCAATCCGGTAACATAAGGTGCTTGAAGGAGGAGAAGGCAGGGCAATCAGATGGCGATTGAATGAGGTAAGGAAAGAGGTGGATGTCCTGGCGGGGGAGGGAGATGTGCGAGATGCAAACAGCAGAGTTTGGGATCAGGGGGTTTGGACGGATCATTGGACAAATCAATGGGTGATTGAACGGATAATAGGTGGATTGTATCGAACCGAAACTGCTGCACGTTAATGGGCAGATCCTGAGTTCTGCTATTATCGATGGAACTTGTTCGCGTTAGATGGAACAATGTTGTAACATTTTTTCAGTTGAACAACAACAGCAAATACGATCTGTACTCGATTTGGTTTGAAGCTGGCAAAGTTTTGTGGATTCGTGGATTTGTATTTGTCTCTTTGTAGGTGCAAGTCCCCGTTTTACTGAAAAAATGTTATCCTCAATCGGTCTACTGATCAGGGCTCACGTGAGCTGAACCAAACGGATGGAAGGGCGTGGAGGTGTGTGGATGTGCGTTGCGCACTATGAACGATAGATTTGTTCGCATTTATTCACTACGAAGTTGCGTCGCGGAGTAGGAGCGAAGCTCGGAGGGGTGTGTGGAAACATAAACGAGTGGTAGTGTCGTTTTGAAGGCATTAAATACACTTCGGATGTCCCTAAAGTGATCTATCTATTCATCTATGAACTACGATTTCCAAATTCCTTACGCGGGATGGATCAACGCAGCTGATCAAGGCAGTAATCGTATTTGTGTTTATCTATTCTGACCGATTGGAATAGGTTCACGTTGTCTCAGTGGTGATCACTTGCTGGCTGACATCACCATGAAACTCAAACGGAGTACAAACACTGCGTTTTAGTGAAGATGATTAACTGAAACATCGGTTCACCTAGATAGATTCACTGAACCACGAAAAAGTCATGATATATATATCCACGCATTATCTCTGAAACAACTTAGCACATGTAAAAAATATGGCATATCACCATCAGGGTTATAAAGCTACAGTTCTACGTTTAACCGTCAACTTTAATCCATCATCGTTAAAGGAAGTGATCAAAAGACTGTGGTCGAATTGGGATCACTCAATCACCGAGTGACAAAGTGTGAGTTATCCCACCAGGCTTATTTATATCAGTTAGCTCCTAGAAGGCGAGAAGCGTGTTTTGATTGAGATCATGAATTGTCCTCTGGGTTTGGTACGAGAGACGTCCCCAAACTTCCTCGACGTTTTATTCCATGGCTCACCTCTAGCCGTTGCACAATGAAATTCGAGATGAAAGGAACTATCCTGTTGGTGCAGGGTTTCTATTGGTTTCCGCATTCGATATTCTATTGATGTGGGTCCCATGCAGGGATCTCTGTACCCCCTTAGTCGAACAGATTTTGTTGTTAGTCGTTGGGCCAGGCAGTAGGTCTCTTCCACATTGGTTACCTTAATCATGGTTTCGCTCGCCTGTTTTGCTGTTAATTGGGGATGAGGACATCATTGCATGCTTCAGCTTCTTGAATCCACGAGTTACAATTGGGTACAGGATAGAGTCAACTGAAGTGGATACGAAATTCTGTCATTTCGGACGTACTACTATTATCAACTGTGCTTACATCAAACATAAGGGAAGCCAGCGGAATTCAGCCTTGTTCATGCAGATAACCTCCCGCAAATGCAATTCACGACAGATTCATATTGATAAATAATTGTGTATGGGGTTGGTTAACAAAGGACAAGCTCACACAGGCAAATAATTCTTTCCAATGATTCATGCACCAGCCTGTACCTATCGCACAACTAAGTACTATCGGTGCAGTGTTGTTCTGCAAGTTCGTCAAACGCCAAGACGTCTGTTTAGAACCCGCTGCAATTCGCATCATTTAGTAGCTGCCTCCCTACAATCGGGTTCTAATACGTTATGTGTTCGACTGATTTGTAGCCATGGCAGTTGGATGGCTTTATCCAATCGACTGAAATACATCCTAATCATGCCACTTTCGTTCAAGATTTGTAGGGAATAGTTGATGAATACTGGACTAATGAGAATACAAATTTCCAAGCCGCAGTACACTATACGTGACCATCTCTTTTTAATTTCAAGTTAGACCGTTGTAACTGCATATTAATCTAACCAACCGCATTCAACTGGAACCCCACAAAGTCATTAATACTTCAGCCGTCATATGTCACCGACTGGACCAGGTGTATCAAAACCCTGTCCAGTCTGAATGAACTGCTTTACCCATAGATACATAAATGTATTTATTGGTTGAGTTACCGAGCCCGGATGAAGTTTTCGGTGGTGTGGGGCCTCAATGTTCGCCCCCCCCCTCCATACCCACCTGGAACGTGATGTCCTTGGCCGTTGATCAATTGAGCTTTAGACGAAATTGAACAAACCCAGTGATGAGTGACCTCTGTCGGCCGAGCAAGGAAGCTACTCACGTCAAAATGGATCAACAAATCGGTCACAATGCTTATAGCCTAAATGAATGAATGAATGAATTGTTTCATAAGGGGGTTCATTCTAGGCCATCAGTAGCCTAGTGAGTGAATTCCATTGAAGCCAAGGTTCCCTCGAATTACACCGAGTCATTTGGATCAAATACAATGGCCCACGTATTTCTGGCATTGAAATACACACGTGACAAGATACTTAACAATGGTTCAAAGATACAATGAAAGAATCAACAGTATTTCAAGTGAATAAGGAGATCAAATTCGAACTCATTCGCTACCTAGCAGAAATTACATTTTTCGTCTGTATTTCCCCGACTGACAAATACATTCTCTCCATGGTGCTAATGGAAACAACCTGTCACCTACAGCTTCCTCCTTTGTTAATCAGCTTCATCGCATCATCTATCATCTTCGTCACATCTTTTCACACAGCCTGATCACATCTGTGTGATTCTCATAGTTCAGTGATTGAGACATGTAGTGATAGGAATAACTCAGTTGTTCTACAAAGGCTGATAGCTTTCTACTGGGTGCATCATAGGGTATTTATGTGAGTTGTTTACAGTGCGTGTTTTTGAAGGATAGGTGCATTCTTCATTTGTTCTTTTAATTCATATTTACCAAAGAGATACAACATTTCTCGTCACGACTTAGACTGGCTACAGTGTATTTTCACAACCTGTGTCGTCCTGCAAATGGGGCACACCATGAGTCGGAAGAACACAGTATATTAAACAACCTTGTTTCGGTCGTAGATCAACTTTATCAATACAGCACAATTGATTAAAAATAAACACAACTCCTGTAAGCGGATGCACATAACAATGCACTTGAAGTCGAAGGTCGTTATCCAACAGAGCATCCATAATCGCATTGACAATCCTCGAGCTCATTGCACAACTGACAAACCGTCAGTATATATATATATATACACGAGGCCACACCGATAGCACTGATCTTTTCACATTCGAATTAAAGTTGAATGGGTAAATTCGAATGTGAAAAAATCAGTGCTATCGGTGTGGCCTCGTAGCTCTGCTGGTAGAGCATGCGCGTACAAAGCGTAGGCGGCGTCCATGCGTGGGTTCGAATCCCATCGAGGCTACTGAACTTTTCATAATCGACATACAAACTTCAAATCTGCCAAACAACAACATATATATTTGTCTTTGCTGTTAAATCATAGGTGATGTTCTCAATTCATTTATGTCATTGCAATTATTTTTGGTTAATCTAGAAGTGAAGTAACTACAGGGTTCCACGGTTTGACGCAGATTGTTTTTTGGATAAGTTAACCATGTGATCCATGTAGTTAGACCGGCAGTCGATTAGATGCGATCGCATATTCAGCGGCGTTTTGTGTGAATTAATCACGGTCCATCATACTCCGGCTCGTACGTACGTTCTCCTTTTAAGATTATTGTGTGGGATTATTGATTCATGTTTTATACGGTCATTATACCATACTCATTAGTTTTTAAAACATTCTGTGATCAAAACACCGCGTTCCATTTTTCCCTGTAATTTTCAACGATTTGTCATCTAACATTTCATTGGTTTACGTTTCCATTAAATGTAAAATGTGATATCTATGTCTCTGGCCGTGATTCCCCTCCTCAACTTGTTTTTTTTCAATCATCTACCGGATCCGTGCCACAGTAGCATATTTTGTTCAACCCGAACGGATCCAATGTCCCGTCTCCATGCACGTCACCCTCAAGAATTTATTATCGATCATCGTCGCAGTCTATCCCGTCATGGTCCCGAACCGCATCGTGTTCGTGCACATCGACGTTCTTTTCCTCGAACCAAATTCTACGTGATCGATGAACCTCGAATTCCTTTGTCCGCTCATGTTCACGAGATGTGGCATCCACATTCTGGTGACTCCAATATTGTCGATTACTACCCTTCCGTGTGCCCAACCACGACCGAAATGCGGACAGGGTATACGTACGATCAGCTCCCGTGTACCACACCTGTGGGTGACGCTGAATTTTGTCCGGCCCGGTGTCTGCCAAATCCCTCTCGGGTCTCTATGCACCCGAACATGTTTGATCTGGGGAACGCTGGTGGTGAACTGATTTCCAATTCCATAGGTCCGGGACTGATTGACAAACGAGACGGATCCATGGTCCGAGTGGTCTCCCCCACGCGTAGACCCGTGGCACGTGTGCCTGACTATCGAATGGAAATGAAACACGATGTCGACGAGGCACTCTTGGCACATCGTTTGAATGAGACAAGAAATAAGACACGAATGAGGTTCGTTAAATGAATCACCCAATGAATTTTGCGCTCTTTTATTCAGTTTATCAAATTATCAATTGATCAAATTGATCGATAAGTCCATTGGCTACCGTAAAGCAGTATTGAAGGAAAACAATAATCGCAATGGGATGAGATCGCGTGATGGCTGGAGCAATTTATACTCATCGTACTGGGGTGTCATGATGTTTATTTTCCTCTGCCTGTTTGTGAGATAAGCACTGCACTGGGAAGAGTCCAAAAAACATAACGCAACCAACCTGAGATTAATAGTGACTCGGGTTTCCTTGCCATCCAGCTTTGGATCTCACGTATAAATAGACCTTTGAACAACATTACAACGTATGTTTATGTGGTATTGCACCGAAAAGAGTTCCATACTCAAAAGTAAAAGCTTATAGTAATGCAGTATATAAATGTTTATCTGCCTTTGGATCTGGAAATCCATACTCGTTATACGATTTTTCGCTTAATCGAGCCCATTCTAGCTACGAGTAACAATTTTCTCCAAATAATTTTACGTCAGGGTTAATTGATATAAGGTGATTCTGAACGGTCTTGAAGCTTTTAGTAGAGCCGTTCTGTCTGGTGTTACGCAACAATGACATGCTTCCCCGGTGTATTAGCTACAGCATATATATTGACAATTTTTGAAGAAACCAGGATCATCTCGTAATTGGTTTGTTTTCTGTACTCCAGAATTCATCTCTTTGGCTCGGATATGGCCCTCTTTTTTTCGAATCTATTCGAAAATGTTAACCACAATTTGTTTAAGGACTTTTATTGTTTATGTCTAGGTCTATGTATGAATATATATTTGAATGCCGGGGTGTCATTGTGTGTGAATTTGATAGAGAAATTCTTCTTCTTAGAATTCTGCTTCTTATGGAATAGACACTGAAACAAGATGAACTTAAAATGTCTTTAGGACCAGATTGTGTATCTAGTCATAGTGCTCAACATAATTTAAATGAGATTTGTGATCTTATCACGTGACAGACTGCGACGTTTGCTATGTGAACTCTTTTTGTTTTCCGTTTTTGCTATCAGATTTTGATTGGGGTAGGTCACACTTGACTAATTCAAATTTCTGATGTTCGTGTATTTTTACCTAAGTTCCAGAGTTTGATTTCACGGATAATTTCACACTCTTCTGCTTAGCTGTTGTCTTATATCAGTTAAATCGAGCGTTGGTGACAGTTTCTGTCCCGTGTAATATTAAAGATGAACCAAGGCCTTATTCACAACCAGTCTCTCAACTTGCACTAGTACACACCACCAGTCAACATCATCCGGTGAGCAGAGCAAAAAAGACCAGATACTCTTGAATGGTAGCGATCGCTTCGCACAAGTTCATTTATTTGCATATCTACGGACGGTTAAACTAACGAGGCTATGCTGGAAAGCACAGGTAGTGAGCTTGTCCACCAAACTGTAATGCGGGCTTCAGGAACAGCCAGTATTTTATTTCCTTTGTGATGAAAAATACAACAGTACAGGGGACTGTGACCAGGGGCCATACTTTACTAGTTAGTGAGCCTGGGGCTAGTCGAAAGTTTACTAGCCTCATCTCTAGCTGTGAATTGGAGACGCACCAGGTGGTTTTAACCTCAGAGAGGATATGTTCATGGAACTAACAGCACACTTTTAATCACTTCGAGAAGGAGTATGAACACTCTCTTGTGCTGAACCAGAATACATCTACCCCTTCATTCAACTAGATAATCCGAAACCACCGCACGAGAGCACGTGATTGATGGTTATTGAAACGGAACTAAAACTTCAAGGTAACAGTTTTTATCGATTATTTTTAGCAAAATCGATTATCTTGGTAATTTTATTGTTACGGGAACGATAACAGATATAACGTAGGACGAAATTAGAATTGAGCTTAAGGACTCTGTGAACAATACACAATTAAATGCAGGAAAACGACGCGTAAGATAGAAC